ATTAGAAATCATTTATACTTAATATTTATAATCAATTTTATTTTTATCTAATAAAATTCCTTGAAAACATTTATTTATATACCTTTTTTTAATAAAATATAAAAAGATTTTATGATAAATATATTAAATACCATAATATTTTATATCCAATATTAATATTTTTCTATTTATCTTATATATATAATCCATATAATTTCATTAAAGGGGTTAAAAAATCTCCTGTTTTTGTACAAATATAAATCAATGCATCATGTAATTAAAAATCTAAACAATTAACAAGAAGAGGAGAAACATCAGTATTTTACAAATTCAAATTAATAATTAAAGTTGACATAATTTAATTATTATTTTTATAATATTCAATAAGTTTTCTCAAAAAATTATTTGGAATATAGCTCAACTTTTTATGTAAAATGAATTTTTCAAGAACTTAAAAAAATTGATTTTCATATCCAAATCTGTTTATCCCATTTTACATAATCCCAAATAAATATTCTTCATTTTCAGTTTATAATAAAAATTCGGTTCCAAGCATAAGTATATCTTTAATCTTTTTATATTAATATAAATATTTTTTTGTTTTTAAAAAGTTACTTTTTATTCTTCTATTTACTCTTCTGAAACAAGACTTAATTATACATATGTAAGAGTTAAAGTTTGTATAAATTATTTCATTTGTTTTTTTCTTTCTTCTTTATTGTCGTCAATCCCACCCAAAAATTTTAAATTATCTAAAAAAAATATATAAATATATTTTTTTTTGTTAAATAACTTTATAAAATCATTAATGAATATTTCATAATTTAGAGCCACTCCCCTTTTCTGGTCAAAAGATCAAAATATTATTACCACTTTAACAATTTTACTTAAATAAATTAATTATCCTCACTCATAAAGCAAAAAGTGCAATCAAAAAATCCCCAAAATTTCATATTTTTACAAAACTAGATTTCCTAAATATAGTCCAACATTAAAAACTCACAAAAACTTTAATTTTCGTTTTCGTTTATTTAACCAAGAACAAACTAACTAGTATGAATTAACCCACATTCATTATTTTCAAAAATAATAAAAATAATACTATTACTAATAAACTTACATTAAGTAATATTTTTTTAAACAAAAGCATGAGCACTTTCGAAAAATTCAACACAATCATCAATTAATTAAGTTTTTATAAGACAAATGCAATTATCTTAACTTATACAAAGTAATCCAAAATTACTATTTGTCCCTTTAAAATAACCACATCCCCAACTAATTGAACTAAATTTGCACTGTTTTTATTAATTAAGTTGGAATTTATATCTTATTTAAATATTTTTTTAAGTAATAGTTAATATATAAACATATTCTTATAATAAAAAAGCTACTATTTTTAATTATATATTAAATAATTTTTATGTTTAAAAAGTATCTAAATACGAAATTTATTTTATTATTTGATTTTAAATTGCTTGCTTTTCTAAACTTGTTTAAGGGGATAAATATAGAGTATTTAAGATTTTTTCTTTAAATGAAATATCAGGTTTTTCTTAAAGATTATAATTAATAATATAAACATCTTCTATATAATTCAAATTTATTATTTCTTTATTTACACTTGTAAAATAGGTGTCCAAAATACATTTAATCCAAACTGAAATTCTTAAATTTATTCCATATTCGTCAATACTTAATATTTCAAATCTTTTATTTTTTTTATATTTTATTTATATAATTCTATACATATTTACTATTCTAAAGAATTTTTTTCTTCTGAAATAAATTAAAGACAAATAATCTTTCCTTCGTGATATTTTTTTAAATGCTATATCTTTTAATGGGGATATTTGTTTTCAAATAAACAAATATCGCCATTTTCATAACCTAATTTTTTGTTTTTTTTTTTAAAAACAAAAAAAACTAAAAAAAATAATAAATATACCAACTGCTATTATTTTTTCATCAAAACTAATTTGTAATGCCGTTACATTCCCTAAATTTTTCAAATCATTTGGCCCTAAAATATAAAATTATTTTTCTTTTTGCTTGTTGAACAAATAAACAATTGAATGCATAGAACCTACTACATAAAATTACTTTGATTCATTTATTATTGTCGGTTCTCCAAATACTAAATGGCTTTCAAAAATTCTCTCGTTTATATATTGAAGGTTTGTCATTACAAATTAATTTAATTATTTTTCATCAATTTAAGAATTTGTATTTGAAAGCTAAAAAAAATCTGTTTAATCAATTATTGGCTTATTTATGAATTATTGTAGTATTTCTTAATCTATTTATTAATATTAATCAAGTGGTTCTTATTACATTTCAAAAGTTCTTATATTATTATTATATTTATTTAATATTAAAAAAAAAAAAATATTTTATAATATATAAAATAAATATCTATGTATATTTTAAATAAAATTATATATTATTTTCATTAAATAATGTATTAATATATATATTAATATTTATATTTAATATATATAATTATTTTAAAAATTTATTTTTATATTTTTAATAATTTTATTTTCTAATATTTTTAAGGTTAACAATAAACAATCGATTTAAAGTTAAAAATAATAAAAAAATACATTTTATTTGATTAATTAAATAATTAAACAAATGTTAAAATAAAATTCAAATATTTTTTTTTTTTTTAGATTTTAATAATTTATCTTCCAACTTTATATTTAGAGATTAATTTTTATCTTAAAACATACTATTTTTCAACTCAATTAAATTTATTTTACTAGTCTAAGTCATTGAGAGTAATAAATTATTAATTTAATTTGATTTATTAATATTATCTACCATTATATTTGAATTTCTAATTTATTCTTTTACTTTACTATGTCTTAACTATTCAGAAGCATAACTTTCTTTTATATCTGTACGATTTTTAAAAGAACAAAATTAACAGCCTTATTATTATTAAATTTATATATTTTCTAATTCTTGAATTATATAGGCTTATTTTTCTTTATGCTTATTAGTTTGACTTATTTGATATTTCAAATTTTCCTTAATTTATTCAAGTCTTTTTTTTTTTTAAACTATTTCTTTTGCACTTAAACTTTATTAATTTATTAATTATTTAAGATAATCTGCATTAGAATTATATTAATCTTCATATATATATTATTGAACTTATTAAATATATATTTCTTCAGTAACTTATATATATTATTCTAATAAATCTTGCAAATTTACATTTTTAACAATATTGCAAACTCTTTTTTTTTATTAAAAATTAGAATTTAAAAAATGAAAAAAAGCATAAAATAATTTAAATGATAAATGAAATAAAAAAAGATAAATGTGTCTAAAATATAAAAATAAATTTATATGTAAATAAAAGAAAACCTTAATACAATAGCTTAGTATTATTCTTTAATTTTCTTAGAAATTTCGCATTCGGCTTAACATTTTACAAAATTTTAATATTAATTTTATTAAATTTTATTTTCAACCTGTGATTAAAGCTAAGCATTTAAAAACTAAATTTAATTTTTTAAAAGAAGAATTTCTTAATATTATTAATCTTCATTTTTTAAATTATTTTAAATAATTTCTTTATCTTCTGAATAATTCTTTTTAACTAATTCAATTTCTTATATTAAAGTAGCCTCTTTATCCTTAAAAACATTCAATTATATATTAAAATCATTATTTTATTTATTTATCAATTTTATTTAATTATTTAAAGCTTCTTTTTCTTCTTCCATTTAAATTAAATAATTTGTTTAATATTCTATCTATTAAAATAATACAATTACCCACTTTTCAATATATTCGAGTGCTTAAATTTCATTTTTTTAAAATCCAAAGAAAAGTTTCCTAAAAGTAATCCAAAATCCTCACAAACAAAGGATTTTAAATTTTAAATTTTGGAAACTTTTGAAAAATCACATATAAACTAACATACAATTTAAAATGATTCGCCTATAATATCTTTAATTTATATAAACCTATTTCTTTCTTATAAAAGTTTATCCCTTTATTAATTAAACTATTAAACCTCACTTTCATATTAAAGTTAAAGATGTTCTAAATTTGTCTCAAGAGCCTTTTTTTCGATTTCTAAATAATTAATTTTCCCTTCCAAACTTCCCTAAATCTATTCTCTGGACTACAAACACAACTAAATTTCGTTTAATTATTCTTCCAATTTATTAATTTTTTCATTCAAAGAAATATTGTTTTCTTAAATTTCATTTAATGTTTTATCTTTTTATTCTAACATATTTTCCATTTCATTTAAAAGATTTTCCTAATAATTTAATTTTTATTCTAAATTATTAGTTTCATATTTTAATTGAGTTTCACTTGCTGTTAAATCTATTATTTTTAATTTCAAATCTTCTTCACCATAATCTTTTTCGCCATCATTATTTTATTTTTATTCAAGCTTTAATTTTTATATTTATATTTCTTTAAAAGCTTTTTATAAATCTTTGTTTTTTTGTTCTAATTATTATTTTAATTCATTACAATATTAAAGGATTCCATCTTTTTCGTTTTTTTGTAGAATTGAAGATTTTCTCATGTTTGAATCTAAAATTATACTATTTGATAGTTTAGGGTTTTATAGCTATTTTATTTAAATTTTTATTTAATTTTTATTTTGTTTTTTTTTAAAAATAAACTCTTTGTAAAGCTTCAGTTCGATATTTTTTCATTTTTTGGTTTTTTAATTTAAATTTTTATAATTTTTTTTTTTTAATAAATTAATAAATAAAAATATTTTTTTTTTTGTTATAATAATAATAATAATATATATAAAAAAAAATATAAAAATGATATAATCAATTTTCAATTTAATTTATATTTTCGTTTTCAGCTGAATTATTAGAATTTGTTTTTTATTTATTAATTTAAATCTAATAAGTATCATTGTTATCCTAAATTTTATCTTTTTATTCTAAAATATGATTTTTATTTAAATTAATTTCCGTATTAGATTCTAAATCAGTAGCAAATTTAGATTTTTTATGTAGAGAAGCAACTGTATTAATATTATTATTATTATTAATATTACTATTAATATTCTTAACATTATTATTACTAATATTATTATTACTAATATTGTTATTACTAATATTGTTATTAGTAACATTATTATTACTATCATTATTATTCTTTGAATTATTTGCTTATTATTTTTCAAATATATTATTTTACCTATTTTTATTAATATGGCTTTTTATAATACTATCATTTAACTAAAAAGTGTCTATATCAGAAAAAAAAGGATGTTTCAACATATTTTCACAACTAATTCTTTTAGAAGGCATGAATTTAAAAATAGATAATCTTAATTATTAAAAATTTTTTAGAAATATACAAATTTTTTTTTAAAAAAAATATACAATAAATTAATTGCCTCATTTGATGCCTAAGGTATTATTTATTCTAATTTTATCCCTTTTTCTTATGGAATACTAATTTTCATTTAAGTTGCATAAGAATAAACCTCAGGCCATTCCTACATAAGTGGAGTGCCAAAAATTTTAATAATTTTAATCAACTAATCTTATTCACTGATTCCATTAAAAACAGGTCCAAGTAAACTAAAGAAAAATACATAAATTTAAAAAAATATTATATATAAAATTTATTTTTACAATAGTTCCATCATAACACATCCTATAGCCCAAATATCTACTTATTAATTATAATTTTAAGAATGAATGAGTTATTCAGGAGCCCTATACCATCTTGTAGTAATATAATCTGTGAATTAATTATTTTATTTTTGGTTATTTTCTCTAGTAACGAAAAACGAAGATATTTTTGCTTGAATATATGTATTATCTTCATTAGCAGTTACACATATATTTTCAGGACAAATGTCTCTATGTAAATATTTTTAGGAGTGTAGGTATTAAACCCCTTATATTATTTGGAACATTATTTATTTAATGATCTATTCGCTTATTTATTCACCTGATTCTCTAATTTATTAGTAATAATCAAATAAAGAAGACTCATAAAATTCGTATACACAATACACTTCTTCCCTTAATTTAATTATTTCCTTTATTTTTAATAATTGGGGGTGATATAAAACTGTTAAAACTTTTATTTCTCGTATTTTCATACATTCTTCCCATGTATAAAACTTCCTTTTTAACATTTTAATTATTACTAATTCTCGTGTTTCGCTGTTTTAAGCTTTTGCTATTGTACTATGGCCTAAATCACTAATCGTTTCTAAAATTACGTATTTTTGCATTATAATTTTATTTATAAATATAAATTTAATTTTTTAATATATTTGTAGTTAAATAAAATTATATTAATAATAAATAGTAACATATAATAAAATGAATTTTTAAATAATTAATTACTTTTAATAGAAAATATATATTAAAAGAAAATAATAATATAAATAAAAAAAATAATATAAATCAAAAATATGTGAGTAATTTGTAAATATTATAAAATAAAATTTTACTTGTGTAAAAATTAATAAGTTTAATAAATAAAAAATATATAAAAATATGTTAAATTAATTTGATAAAAATATATAAATATATTATTATAGAAAAAATTAAAAATATGTATATATATATATATATATATATATATATATATATATATATATTTATATATATTTATATATTTTATAAATATTTTTTTTTTAATTTTTTTTTGTTTCTTATCTTGTGTTTTTATTTTAAATATATTTTTTTTAATAGTGATATATACAATTTTTCATTTTTTATAAACTATCATTTTAACATTTTATTTAATAATATTAATCATTTTTCATCTTATTAATCATTTACATTCTTTATTATATAACTCTTTTCATTTTTTTTTTATCTTATTTTTCTTTTATTTCAAAATATCAATTGAAATTTATTTTAATTTCCTTATATATATTTTATCATTATCATCTTTTTTTTTTATTTATAAATTAACTTTCATTCTATTTTTTTAATCCATGCATTTCATTTGATACCTATTACTCTTCACAATCTTTTCTTTATTTCCATTTATATAATCAAAATACTTTTATATAATTATTATGAAAATCTTCTTCATAAACCGACTTTTATACAAAAATAAAACTTTTTTTTCTTATTATTTCCATCTAAAATTTTCCTTCATATCTGTTTCCGTCTTGGCGAAGTTTCTATTCCTAATCCAATCTTTTGATTTCTAAAATAAATCTTTTTTTATTAAAAATATAACTTTTTTATCCTTTTTTCATTCTTCTTTATATTTTTCATCATTTTTATGGTAGTAAATACCTTTCACATTAATTTTGTCATTAACTTAATGCCTTCCAAATACATCTGCTGTAGGGTAAGTTAAATTCTATATTCCATATATTATTTTTCTAATATCTCTCATTTTTTAATCATTTAACGATTTCTAGATTCTATAACTATTTTGTTTGCCTTAATACCGATTTTTTTCATATATTTTGCCTTTATCTAAAATTATAAGAAGTAATTTTAGCCTTTATTGAGTATTTTTTTTTGCTTTTTGGTTAATATTATTGGAATACTTGTTAATGTAAACAATGCAAACATTAAAAACAGTGATTTTTATAGTTTATATCATCTTAATATTGAATTATTTTGTTGGATTTTTTATATTCCATGGTTTTATGTAGTTATTTGGCAATTTTTAATATTTTTTTATTGCACTAAATTAAACCTGTGCTTTTAATTTGACATTATGACTTGTAAATACATAATTCCCAATAAAAAAAAACTCTATTTATTTATATAAGTATAATAAAAAAATTAAATTTAATTATTTTTTTTTATTTTTTTTAATAGTTATATTTTATTTTATTTTTTTTAAAAATAAACATTTTTTTTTGATAATTTTATATATTTCATTTGTATGTTTGTTTTTTTTTTAAAAAAAAATTTTAATTATTTCTTAAAATTATTATTATTATTATATTTATAATTTAATAAATTTACTTTTTAAATAAATATTATCAATAATTAATATATAATGATAAATAAAAATTAACTTTATCTATTATATTAATTAAAATAAATATTCAAAAATATTTTTTTAATTTTTACTAATATATTTTAATAAATTTATTAAATTATATATATATTTAATATTGCCACGTAATGTAAATATTTTCTTTAAAAGCTAAAAAAAATATTTTATATTTTTTTTTAATTTTAATATATACAAAATACAAATAAAAATTTCGTTTTTATAAAAAAAATAATTTAAAATAAATAATTAAAGAAAAAAAAAAAATGTCTAACAAAAAATCCGAAACCCCATAACTTCCTGAAGAAACTATTAAAAAAGAAGATACAAGAACTGACAAAAAAAGAGGTGACAAAACAAACCAACAAAAAACCCAAAATAAAGGAGACCGTGCTGACACTACAGGCTACAAAAAGCACCCTCATGGATAAAACTAAAGAAAAGGATCTGACTCAAGAAACATTAAACAAGATTTAGATGGAAATTTTGAAAAATATGAAAACAACGATTAAAGAAAACGCACAGACAGAGTTAAAACTGAAAAAGTAAGCATTTATAACTGGGATAAGTCTAAAATTACCCTCGAAACTCCACTTCCTGAAAAACCTAAAGAAAAAGAATTAATAAAAGAACCAAAGAGGGAAGAACTCAACAAGAAAGTCGATGAAGTCGAAAAACAAATGGAAAACTACAAACACAAGAAGAACTAAAAAATTTTGGATATTATTAGCAAAGACAAATCTTTAAAGACCAACCTTAATGAAAAATCTACTCCTTTATAATAATTGTTAAAAGAAGCTTTTGACGAATTAAAAGTTAGAAAAGAAGAATTCTTAAAATATAAAAATGAACATGAAGAAAAAGATTAATAAGTTTAAGCTTTGGTAAATATATATAAATTTTATATTTATATTTATTTATCTTTTTAAAAATTTATATTAGTTTAAGAAATAATAAGAATTAAGAAATAAAATGAAAAAATGTTCTAATGAAAAAGATATAATTACAGATTTAAATAATCTATAGAAAAAATTCAATAATGAATAATTAACTAATTAAGAAGAAAAAAGAGTTGTTGCTTAAATTGAAGAATTAAAACTTTCTCTACCTTTTGCAAAGTAAAAAAATATAAATTTATATAATATAATAATTATTAAAAAAGACCTCTTTAAGAACTTGAAGAATAAAAATAAGAAATCGAAAAAGTATCTAAAGCTTTAAAAGGAAAGATGGGTGCTGCTTATAAAAACATGAAATTAATATAAGAAAAGATCGACGAATATAAAAAAGACTTAGATGAAATTAAAAAAATAAGATTAGAAGGAGACGAAAAGAGTAACCCTGAAATCGCTTAAATAAAAGAAGAATACTAAAAACATATTGAAGAATTAAAAAAGAAGAAACATTAAGTTTACTATGACTATGATGTTTAATATAAGGCTTTTAAAGATTAATAAGAATTAATAAGATATCATGAATTTGTCAAAAGACAACATGATTATTTAAGAAGAATAGAAAAAGCTAAAAAATTTGAAGAAGAAAAAAAGAAAAGAGAAGAAGAAGATAAATAAAAAGAAGAAGAAAAAAAAAAAAACAAATATTTAGAATTCGTTGAATTAGCTGAAACCTTGATTAAATACTTAGAAAGATTATAAGGAAAAAATGAATAAGAACAAACACAATAAGAATAATAATAAGAAGAAGTTAAGTAAATAAATAATGAAGATATCGAAAAACTTGTAAAAGCAGAAAAAATGACTGTCTTAGTAAGCAAAAAAGATAGATAGATAAATACTGGATGTCAAAATACTAAAGGAAAAAATAATAAATAAAAATAATAATAGTAATAATAATAATTACCTGAAAAATCTAAAGAAATTAAAACTATTCACCACTCTTTTGATATCCTTTAAGGATTCGAAAAATTATCTGTTTCAGTCCCTATTTTCAAATAAAATATTGATACTGCTATTTAATAACTTAATGAAAAGAAAAAATATTTCGAAGAATTACCTAATAATGAATAAGGAGAAAGTTAAGTAGAAGAACACAAGGAAAAATAAGTTCATAACGTTAAGAACAAAAAGAAATAAGATATTGACTTCGATGAAACATCATTCCCTACTATTAATTGACCTTTGGTGAGGGGATGATCCTTTTTAATATATGGATATTATTTTATTTTATTACATCCATATATTATTCATTAATATATAAAAATAACTATAGAAATAATTATTATTTATTATTCAATTTTTTATTAAATAAAAAATTGTTTATAAATTTAATTTATTTTTATATATATTTTTATATATTATATTTTTTTAAAGAAGAGGGAGATTTTATTTGAGCCAGGGTGAAGAAAAATGCTATTTTTATAAAATAACAACAAAAAACATAAATTATTTAAATAAACGGTTTATTTTTTTACTAATTAAAAAATTAAATCTTTTATTTTTATAAATTACATTTTTCTTCGAAATTATTTTTTTATGTTTTTCCATTCTTTATTATTTAAACGTACAAAAATTTATCTATTTATTAATTATTAATTTTTTATTTAAAAATATATATATATAAATTATCAATTTTTTTATAACAAATAATTATATATTGCTTATTCTTTACTACTAGATAGCAAAAATAAGGTTAATAATTATTTTATTTTTTTCGTTCACAAAACTAAATATTTTAAAAAAGTATATATTAAAATTTACTTTTAAATAATTTATTATTAATAATTATAATCTTAATTAAATGTGCTAATACAAAATATTTATTAAAAGATTTTTTTTATAATTAATTAAATATTTATTTCTAAATAAAAATATTCAAATTTATATTATATTATAATATTTAAATAATTTTGAAAATTTATTGCTAATTACATTCATATAATTTAATTTTGAATATTTTGAAAATGTATAAGGAATTAGATTTGATTTTTTTTAATATTCAAAAAAGTTAAATTTATTTTATTTTTTTAATATAAACTTAAAAAAAATTATTTTGTATAAATTATAATATCAGGATATATTATGGAACCTAAAAAAAATAAATATTTTAATTCGCTTAAATTAAGATATTTTTGAAATAGAAAATTAAGAAATTAAAAAAAAAATATCACTAAAATTTAATTAAATATTTTTTTTTAGAATCTTAAAATATTATATATTTTTATATATTCCCCAAATAATTAAAATATCTTTATTAACTATAATATATAGAATATAATAATAATATATAAAATATAGAATATTATAATAATATATAAAATACAAAAAAAAAATACAGATGGGATAATGTTAAAGCGAAGTTAAATAATAATTACTAAATTAAAACTAAGCAGCTAATCTGCCTTAAGAAAGAAAAGAAATAATAACATAAACTTAATCTATTATATAGGATTCTTAAAAAAAATCTTAAGTTACTTATTAAAGAAACGATCCATCAATTAATTTAGATTAGAAGATTTAATAAAGCTAAGATTAATTAAGTCTTTTAAACTTTAATAATATGAATTAACAAAATAATTAATATTATAAATAATTTATATTATAATAATAAAAATTATAGACTATAAATAATTAAAGATAATAAACTAATACTTATTTATAATAGAAAAAAAATCAAGAATAAAAAGAACATAATATAAGAAAAAATTAATAAATTAATAAATATTCTTCTGATGATAGTTTTGAAAGCATTTAAGAAGATTAATATAGAAATAATAATAAAATTAATATAACTTAATAAAATGTTAATAAAAATTATATTATAGATACATCTAAAGAACTAGATGATTATAATGCTAAAAACATGATTTTTATTAAGCCAAAAAAATATTAACAATACAATGCAGGTTAAATATATGCTTAAGAATTTCTTTAATAAGACATTATAGAAAATTAAAAATTAGATAAAAATGAAAAAAGTAATTAATAAAAAATCGAAGAAGAAAAAGACATTAGAAAATATTAAATGGCAAAAAAATAATAAATGATATAAGAAAAAATACAAAAAAAAATAGAAGAATAAAAAGAATAAGAACCTCAAGGAAAAAATTGTATTTTTTTTTTTTAAAAAAAAAATACGTATATTTTTATAATATTTTTGTTAATAAAAAAAAGTTAATAAATATGTCAAACAATAATAATAACAAGAAGAAAAAAAAAAATCTTTAAAAGAACACTAAGAATTTCAAGAAAAAACTGAAAAAAAATACACTCAATAATACATTGAATAAAAAGATACTATTGATAAAAAAAAAAGAGAAAAATCCATAAAACTAAACAATCTATACTATGAAAAAATTAAATATTAAACAAAAATTTAAATTGCTTTAAAAGTATTAGAGAACAAAGTCCTTAAGGAAATGAAAATATGTTTAAGTGATAAAGAAAAAGAGATAGTTTTAACAAACAAAGATTAAATAGTTTTGGGCAGATCAGGAACAGGAAAAACAACTTCTTATGCAATAAGACTATCAATAATGTAAGCATTATTTAATTAAGAAAAAAATAAGTAGGAAAACTATAATTTAGATTTAGACTTAAAAATATGCTTCACAACCCTTTCTTAATTATTAAGTTAATAAGTTTAATAGTTTTATATTGGAATTACTAAAGATTAGAAATAGACTATTTTATAAAATGTATATAGTCTTAGTTAGGTTTAAACTTTTCCATTTTTTACTGATTTTAAATCTCTTATAAAATTAATTGATGGGAATTTAGTTGTTCCATTTTTTTAAAGAAAAAAAGATGGAAGAATTGAAGAAAATGAAAATATTGGAATTAATTTTGATGAAAAATATACAGGAAAAACTTACTTTAGTTAAGACTTTAGTTTTAGTGAGATTAATATTGATGATTTTTAAGGGAAATTTTGGAATTATCTAAATTAATATTATAAAAAAATAACAGAAAATATAAATCCTATTTCAGCTTATTCGGAAATTAGTTCTTATATCTCAGGTTTTTTTTTTTAATTTTTTTTTTTTATATATATAAAAAGGACATTAAGCAAGTTTTAAATATAAAGATTTTTTACTTCCTGAAAATTAATATATTAATATAGTAGGAAAAAATAAATAGTTTTTGTAATATGAATAGAAAGAAAGAATATATTTAATAGCTTAATAATATGTTTAATGGAAGAAATAAAATCGCTATTTTGATAATAATGATATAACAAATTATATTTTAAGCAAAATAACTTAAGTAAATTAATAAAAAAAAAGTTTAAATATATTTTTATAAATTCATTTTTTATAGGGTCATTATAATTTCGAAAAAGGATAATTCGATTATACTTTTGTAGATGAAGTTTAGGATTTAAATTATGCAAATATTTATTTAATATGTCTTTTAACAGAATAAGGTATATTCTTAGGTGGAGATACTGCTTAGACTATAAATAAAGAATGTAAATTTCGTTTTAAGGAATTAATAAAAATATTCGATTAAGAACAAAATGAAAAAAATGAGATAAAATTAGATTTTAAAATGCCTTAACTAATTTAACTAAATAAAAATTTTAGATCACACGGTTAAATAATAGAATTTAACAATATAATAGTAAGATTACTAGAAATATTTTTTCCAACATAAATTGATAAAATTCCTTTAGAACATTCTTTAAGAAAAGGACCTAAACCAATACTTATTAAATAAATTGAGGAAATTATAAATTTATTTAAACACAAAAAAAAATAAAAAGTAAAAGATTACTTTGGTAGACTGTAAATTGTTTTGGTTAAAAACAATGAATAAAAATATTAATTATAAAAAATTTTAGAGAAATTAAATAATAATGACATTAGAATTTTAACTATAGGGGAATGTAAAGGATTGGAGTTTTAAGATGTTATATTATATAATTTATTTGATATTACTTATAAAAATTGTTAATCTCTTGAACTGATAAATTATTTAATAATCGATAGTAAATATATATAAATTCATATATATATATATATAAATATATATATATATATATATATATATATATATATTTTTTTATTTTAGTTATTATTTTCATCATATTAATATTTACATATAATAAGTTATATAATTTAAATAATTTTTTTATTAAATAAAAAAATATATTTAATATTTTTATATATATTTATATTTTTTTAATTTTTTTATCTTAAAAATCTATTTTCTTTCTAGAATAATTAAATTAATTTAATGAAAATTATGGAAACGCATAAGCATATTAATTAAATAATAATTAAGATATCAAATATTAAATAGAATATAAATATCATAAAGATTTTGAATTATTATGTGGAAATTTAAAGGAAATTTATGTTGCAGTTAGTCGTTCGAGATCCAGAATATTTATATATGAAGATAATTAGTAAATTTATAGAAATCCTATGATTAATTTACTTTTTAAGATGGATATTATAGATAAAAGAGATTTTAATGACAATGAAATTTATAAATAAATTATAGTAATTTTTTTTAAAATCCACTTAATAATTTTTTTTTTTTTAGAAAGAACATTTGCATTATATATCAGAATTTGAACCTATTTAGAATAACAAGGATGATTTTATGAAATTAGCCAATTAATTAAAAGATAATAAAAATTATTTAGAAGCGGCTTAATTTTATAAAAAAATAGGAGAAGAAGATAAATATCAAGAGTAATTATATTTTTTTTATTTTGTTAAAAAAAAAACTTATATTTATATATAAATAGATGTTTAGTATTCATAAATTTAAAAAAAGCCCAAAATTTAATTGATTTAAATAAAGAAAAATATAAACAATAATATGAATTTTAATTCAAATAAAATTAATAGTAAGACAAGGAATTAACTATTTATAAATAAGTTTAAGATACTTTATAATTAGCAATTAACTTTTATAAACAAAATGCAAATTATTTAGAATTATGTAAGATATATAACACTTTAGGCTAATATAGTTAAAGTTTAGAATTTTTATAAAAAATAATAATTACGTAATAAAATAAAGAACAAACAAATTAATTCGAAAGAAGAACTTTGCTTACTTACGCTTATTATTTAGAAAAACATAAAAACGAGGAAAAACTAAAAAATCTTTATTTATAAATACTTAGATTTTATGAAAACTCAAACTTAATCGATAGCAAATATATTTTGTTTGTTTATTATAGATTGAATAATATTGAAAATTTATAAATAAAATTAAATGAATATAAAATAAATAATAAAATTAATTAAAAAGAATTAATTAAAACTCTAAATTATTATTATCCTTAAATATTATAAATGATTCTTTCCAAAATTGATAAAGAATTTTAAACTAAAAGGAAAAGTTTAGGAAAAAATTTAAATATAAAAAAAACTGAAATAAAAATAGATCTAGCTTAAAATATAATCAATTTAATTTAACAATTGATTATTCCTTTTAAAGAAGAATTCTTAAAAATAGCAATGAGTAGATAAAGTATTGAATATTTTTAAATATAGTTAAACAGATTTAC